TACAGATTGAAAAAAATCGCATTCCCAAACTAAGGGAACAGATGATCTATTCCAAAAAATTGACAGGAAGAAAATTGTTCTAAAACTGATCTAAGAGAGGCATATCTACAGTTGTCGTTGGATGAAGAGTAAAAGAAATGCTTAACCATCAACACCCCCAATATGTCTGCTGTAGTGCCAACGACTGCCATTTGGAGTGGCATCAGCAGCCGCCATCTTCCAGAGGTACTTCAACCAGGTCATTGCGCAGATCCCGGGGTGTATAAGCTACCTCGACGACATCGTAGACACAGGTAGAAGAAACGAAACGTTATCTCAGGAATTGAGCATTGTTGGAAAAATTAGAGGAAGGACTTCAGGCCACGTTAGAAAATAAGAGGTGAGAAAATGCGTTTAAGAAGAAGATCAAATATCTAGGGCACATGATAGATAAAGGAGTTAGACCCACAATAGAGAACGGGCAAGCCATCATCGATTTGCCCCCACCCAAAGACACAAAACAATTACAGTCATTTTTAGGCAAAGTAAACTATTGTAGCAAATTTATCAGGCAATTGGCACCACCACTTATTGCACTAAGAAAAAATAAGGTAACGTTTGAATAGTCATAAGCATATAAGAATGCATTTCAGTGTATTAAGCAACTAACTTACGCATTTTGACCCGGACAAAATAGTCACTCTAGCAACTGACGCGTCAGATTATGGAGTTGGCGCAGCACCGTCCCAGAACGGTAGTACTAGTAACGGGATAGAACGGGCGATAGCTTTCGATTCGAAAACTCTCAATATCTATCAGAAGAGATATTCATAGATAGAAAAAGAAGCTTTGGGGACAATTTTTGAAGTTAAAAAATCAACGACTATTTGTTCAGAAACAAGTTCATAATAATCACAGAGCGCATAACTCTGGTATCCTTATTTCATCCGTGAAGCACAATTCCGGACTACACGGACATAAAACTTCAGAGATGGGCACTATTTTTGTCGGACTACACGTACCAAATATTTTGAGCACCACCCAGCATATCAACGCAGACGCTTTCTTATGCCTTCCAGCAGGAGAAGATGCAGAATTCGATACGCTGGAGGTGGACTGCATGTAAACGGGCCAGGAAATGGAGCAGATGATTAATCAGTTTACTGTCAACGCCAGGAGGGTCGCTCAGGCCACCGACAGAGACCCGGTACTCAGCAAAACCAGAGATCATGTCAGGAAATGATGGCCTTGCAGAGGTAAGAACGTGTCATTTTTCAAACTTAGAGGGAGACTAACAGAGCAAGCAGAAAGAAAGAAAAATTTTGAAGAAATTTTTGAGAAAATGGCGCTTGAGCGTTTCTGAAAATGAGGAATTTTGAGCTAGTTTTCACAGAAAACGGTAGAGTTTTCGAGAAACTTTATATATATGACATTGTTTAAAGCACATGGACTCATAAATTCAATAATGTGAACAAATTTCCGCTAATATAAATATAAGCGTCATGGAAGACAAGTAAAAAAAATGTTTTTGTAATTTAAAAAAAGCAAAAGAATATAACGAGATGGCGTTTATTACATCTCATAGCGTACATTTAGCAATATTCCTACCAAAAGTTTAAAAAAAATTGAAGCTGTTTTTGAAAAAAACTTTTTTGTACTTTTTTTTAAAAATTGCACATAATGCTCGCAATATTGCACGAACACTACAAAAATTGTCCAAAAAAAAATGTACAAGACCTTAATGAAAGAACTCACTATGGAGAACAAATTTTATTTGAAGGAAAAATCTTTAACTTTCTAGTCACAGGAAGACGCAGGAAAAAATCCAAAATTTTGCAATCTTCAAAAATCGAGTTAATAGAGAAAATTGGACAACCAATATGCCATCTTTATATGGGTATTTTACTTTATTCATACAAAAAATTTAAAGAAACTAGTGGTGCGGCCAAAGTACTTACTTTCCTGCATTGTTTCTAAAATCTCCGCGACATTACACTACTACATCACCAGCAGAAGTGTTGTCAAAGCAGCTTATTATTTTACCGCTCCGAGACTCGAACGCAGATCCTCAGTTTTGGTGGCACAATGCTACAGAAGTAACGCATGGATCGATCTCGGACAAATGTATAAATATGTACATACCCGATTCATGTAAAAAAACCTTTATCAGTAAAAATATCCGGTAGAAACTCGGAAAGCCTCCAGACCGTTAAGATCATTCAGGGAATATCAATTTTGAACAAAGTCAGCTTAACGGTTTAAGCGCTAGCGTTAACCATAGACGGACGGACATTTTGCCGTCAATCGATTTTTCGTTATGAAGAAACAACAAAATCTCTATCTTTAATTTTGACGTAGTAGGAAGACACCGAAAAAAAATCACACTTTTGAAAGTTTAAGAGTTAACCGTTAAAATCGAACATATGCCACGTTTTGAAGTGTGTTCTTCTATTCTTCCAAGAAATTTAAAGAAAAAATTTGGAGCCGTTTGAGAAAATTTTGCAAATGTCTGAAGGACTTCATGTCAAGTACCCCCAAATTTTGAAGAATGTTTTTCAAAATCTAAAAGTATCGATTCGAGAAAGATGGGCTGGGGTTTCTTCAATTTGAAAAAAATCCCAAACATATTTAGACGCTAGCAACACTGTTGTACACATATTGGTGTAATTAAGTTACGTAATAAATCACTTTCGTACAGTAAAATCACAAATGCCACCATTCATTAATAAATAATAAAAGATTACTCCAGATATGCTCAATACCCAAGAAGGGCCAAGGGACACGTTGCAATGACGAAACAACAACAACAAAAAAAAAAAAAGTTCCGTTTGGCGGGTCGATTTAACGTGCAAAAGGCGGTGCCGCGAATCACTGTTTCAATCTATGTCATATCGTGGTTGAGCACATAGTTCGCGGCAATGTTGCTCCCCTCCACGACTCATAAGGAAGCTCTATTCGAGCTATCAACCACCCACTTTTATCTTAGATCAATCATGAAACTAAATCAATTATTTACCCTTTTTTTTAGTGCTGAATCCAAAAATGATAAAACATCATCCACTGATTTTTCGACTCAATATTTTCTAGACATTTTTAAGAAAATAGCAAATTCAACGGTATTTTACTCACTATTTAACATGATTATTTTACGAAAGTGCTATAAAGACAGAATTCGATAAGCTGTGTTACTAGTTTATCACTTCACTGAGAAGTTTGGAAGCAACTCTCAAGAGAAAGTTTAATCAGAAGCTTTAAGGGAAAGAGGAAAAGGAAATGTAAACCAAAGGACGTAGACAGCTTATGAAATGATGTTTATACTTGAATGAAAACTTTATTAATGTTATAACATTTATTTATTTCTAATTCCTACTGTATGTTCCACTAATTTTCTAGTTAATAATGAAGTCACAACATGACAGAAGTGTACGAGATAGAAAGAACTCAAAGTTTGATATGGATTCAGCACCATAAACACCCTCAAGAATCGACCATTAAAGATTAAAAAACTTTTACCAAAATATTTTTTAATAGTCAGCAATATTATTCTCCCCTTAAAGCAGCAATACAATCTAAATGAACACTCCACAAAAGGCAATGACTTTTCTTAAGTAATGTAATAAAAATATAATTACAATAATTGTTTTATCACTTACAGTAAACATAGAATTATCATACTAGTTTAAAATTTAATTTACTTTTGCAACTTATGCTCATACTGCTTATTTAAAGATGTCAAGCTTGTATGTGTTTCTGTGCCAACAATTTGAGTTTCCATATGCTCACCTTTAATGCACTTGCTCTTGGGTTAATCCTCCAATGAACTCTTCCTTCACAACAGAACCGCACTGGAGAGGAATCTCAATTGGAGAGAGGCAAAACCTCAATTGGAGAACCTGTTAATTGTGAACTCCCCCACATGACACAACACTACTGCCACAACTAAGCTCAGATCTACTAGTAACTCAACAATTCAACAGGGCACAAATTTGGAGCATGATCAGTGTTATGCAGTTCTTTGCATCAAAGTACTTTGTGTACGACAGCTTGGACTGAGCACTGACAGCATTGCTGCACTTTATTGCTCTTGCTACATCCACACTGTACAAGCATTTGCTGGCAATTTAAAGGGAACACAGCTACCCATTCCATTCAGTTGATATTTTCCCATCCAATACCTGTTTTGACTGGATATATTCAACAACGTCAGAGAGCCCAGAGTACAGAAATTGCAGGACATCAATGCACAACCCACAACCCTGTACTACACCACCACACTGTCAAGTATTAAGGTAACAATGCAGCCAACTTCAACCAGTGTCCTTTAAGGTGAAATTCTGATTTTGGGCACCATAAATTCATGATAGAAGCACTCAAATGATAAGAGGCTCTATCCTGTTAATTTATTCATTCCAAGCATTAACAAGGAACGAATAAATGGAATGAATTCAATTCCCATGTCACAAATCACTGTCAGCATCATTACATGACTCTCAAATGTCAAACCCAAAGAAGTTTGGTACATGGAAATATTTGCATCAGGATTGCTAATAAGAAATCAAAAGAATGAGATTTTGTTACAATATTAGATAGATAATGCCTTCAACTGCTACAAATTCCACCACCTTCACTACTCCAACAATTCTACTAGGGCTAGCTACTTCTACTACTACAAGTTACTACCATATTTACCTGAATGCAAGAGGAAGTCTTTCTTAAATATTTCATTTCAGGGACTTGTCATGTTGATGTAACAGTCAGCTGCGAAAAGATGATAAAAATATCATGCCGAATAATAATTATCAAGATTTTGTAACTGATGTTTATCAACGAGGCCATGTGGACTCTCAGTTTGATGCTCAGTGAATGCGAATCTACATTTTGCAAGAGATGGAAATGAAGAAAATTGACATTGATAGAAGTATGCATTCTACATCCCATCATAGAAAAAGAGATAAAAAGATATTTTCTAAGCAAAAACTTCCAAAGCTCAGAAACTTCCATCTATCCCCCACAATACCTGCGAAATGGAGATGTCACAACTCTTCTGTTAATGAAACAAGACAGGAGACAATATACAAGAGCAGGACAGGAAGAGAATCTGGTGAAACAGAAAGGAATATTCTTAGGTGGTGTCAGATAAAAGACTAAGATTGCAAATTCAACATGCAAAACATTCATAAGGGGTCTAAAAAGCCAGGTTTCCCTGAATGGGAGGAGGACCACAAAGAAAGAAACGCTACATGTGAAGATGAAGTAGGTAAGGGCAAAAACCATGATTGAGAGGCTTTTAAGACACAACAGAATAGTGATAGATCAGGCAATAAGTTTTAACATTCTCATCCGCTAGACAATTTGCAATTTTATTTTAACTACATTGAAAGAATTAGTTAAAGATTTTAAAAATTCTCAGGGAGGTCTTATAGAAAATTAGGGGGTCATCTTATATTCAGGTAAATATGGTACTTCTATTCAATTACAACTTTCCGGATAAGCATAAGCACATATATTATAACAATAATAGTAATAATAAAAATAATAATGATAAAAGTAATAATAATATTAATAATAAATAATTTTTAAAATAACACAATTACAATCTTTACAATTTTAATTCTTTTATATTAACAAGTCACTTCAGTTATTAAAAATTATTAAACTCCAAATTACAAAAATAAAAAAAAGTCATAAAATTATGAAAATTTTTGTAATATAGTTAAACTTAAACCTCATTATCACAGTGTTACAACACCATTATAATTACAAACATGCAATGCTGCTTTCAGCATATAGAATACACTAGCACTTACATATGAACTGTTTTGAGGTACAAGGAAAATTTAACATAAAATGAACCAACAAGCACCAATTGTGGAGTTACTTAGAATACATTGAACAATAATGATGAATAAAAATAAAATCATAATTCTATGATAACAGTGGTTTTTAATAATATATTGACATATAATTACTTTCAATAAGGATAAGCTTTGCTTCTTCCTGAATCTACAATAGCAAAGTGCTCTATAAAAATTACAAACAACTGCCTTTTTCTCCATTTCTCTAGCATTTTAAATTTTTGAATAAATATATATGTATATATATATAAATATATTCACCTGCAAGAAAGTATTTTACACAAATATTTACAGACAAAATATATTATACTTTTAAAAACAAAACAAAAGAAAACATAAGAACATTGAACATCTTTACAAGTTACCATAAATCTCTTTAAAATAAATTCTCTAGTTTAACATCAAATATAAAATATTTACAATATATGAGTAATTTTACATATTTATTCCATTATAAAACTATTAAATAAGTGAAATTTGAATGTTTTATTACTAGAGCTCATCCAGCCCTCCACTGGGGGCGCCACTCTTCACCTTCTCCAGCACTTTGTTCACAAACTCCGTTGTGTGGCCTGCAATTTTCAATTCTGCAACACATTTGATTTTTTTTTTAAAAAACGTGTTTAGGCAGAAATAGGAAAACACAAGTGCAAAGAAAGATACACAATAAACAAGCAATACAAAGATGTTATGTTCCTACATCTTCCTGTTAAATGTTGCTAGTGACCACATGCCTATTTCAATTCTCCCTTCTTTGATGTTTTCTTTTTCTTCCTACTTTCACTAAATTCAATAAATTGATTATTGTATTATACTATAAGTAAATTTTAAATATGGAATTAGAATCAACATAGAGACTCTCTGAGAAAGGCAGGAGAGGAAAAGTGGGAACATTTCTAAAATGAACTTTACCCCATTAATTCTGAACGTTTTGTTTTGTCGCGCCTTACAAAGCATCCCTAAGCCCCCTTTTGTAGCGTTTAACACATGGAAAACGGAGTAATCTTCCTTTAATCTAGTCAGTCATAGCCTTTTATCCCTTCGGCCAAGAACTAATGGACCTAATTGCAGTGGGACTCTCTAATTGTATATGGATTTCAATAAGCAAAGAAAATTTTCAATTTCGATTAAAATTCTGGCTGACAGATATACAGTAATTATTCAAAATAAAGAGAGGATGTCATAATAAATATCTTAGCAGCCGAACACATGTTATTAAAAAAGAGTACTAATCACACGAAATCAAGCAAAAATGAAATTAAGAGAGCCTACAATGCATATTGGGAAATATTTATTGCAAATATCGAATATAATGAACATGGAAGACAATCTTTAGAATACAAAGTCATGAAATCTCTAAATAACTAAAAGAGAATGAAAATGTCCAAAGCATAGAAACAGATAAATGGACAGAACATTATCGATCTCTGAGGTACAATGATATAGAAAATGCTGCAGTTAAATTAAACAGAAAATTATCGAGGAGTTTATGACATCACATTAGAACAGCTGACAATCTCTAAGAGGATTAAAAAATTGAAAAGCACCCGGACCAAACAGAAAGAAGTAGAAAATGATTTAAATTAAATGTCAGGGCTCTAATAGTAGAAGGGCATATGAAATCACTTCCAACATTGATATGGGATAGTAAAAGAAGTGTTAAAATTATTGTGGCTGATCATAACACTAGAAGGTCAGAAGATTATTGTTATTAAAATCATCCTTGCATCTTGAATCAGAAATTCATTACCCTACCAATTTAGACTCTAGATGTCACTGTTCTAAATAATTTGACATTGCATATCATCCCAAAATACTGAATTAATACCGGATCCCACATATACACTGCTCTTCTGCTTTTTATTTTAAAACAGTTCAAAATCACTATAGGTGACATCTTAATGGGGTTCAGTCTACAAAATGTGCCAGGTTGCAGAGTCAGATGGCTGCTTAAACAAGGACATTTTTTCATGAGTTTTTATGGGAAAATAAATCTGTTACATGGAAGAAAGAAAAAAAAAACAGCCTTTTTTGGAAGACACTGCATGTTTGAGGTGTCTGATGAGGTTTCACTGCATTTTATTGTCAGTTTCCTCTATTTTTCACTTCAGTTTTTTTCTTTGAATGTGTTTGTTACAAGATTTTAATGGATATTTCAATACATAAAATTATAATTTTTGTTATTTTATTCAAAATAATTTGAAACTAGTGTTGCTATAGAATGGCACAGACTTTCTCGTACCAGTTAGTTTTCTAATGTCTACGGTCTGGGCCAACTATACAATATTGTCCCATACTTGTGCCAGCTGCCATCTATCACTGCCCAAAGCAGATCTTTTAGAGAATTCCTTAATTTTTCGGTTTCCTAATTGTTGAACCGCAATATTATTTTAAGAATATTAAAGATGAGTAAAATCTTGTTCTATAAGGAAATTTTTGTTGAAAACTTTTGAGCTGTTTTTAAGAAAATTGTATTTAAGCATTATTGTAATTGTCCAATTTGAATTTCTTTTTCACAGAAATCTTTTGAGTTTTTGAAAATTTCATTTGAAGCACTTCCACTCACAAATGTAATAATTTATATAAATTGCTGAAAAAATGCAAATTAAAGGTGTGAGTGATATTTAGAAAAATTACATTTATGTATCTAAGACAAAAAAATCAAGAAAAAAACAAAACAAAAGGGTCGAGTACTTTTGCGCTGGCCAATTAAGGCTATTAAGCCAACCTTGGTTAAAAGTCAACACATTCTCTGTAATTCCCCAAAGCAGCACCATATGCTCAGAGATGAGGGCTTACAGAGAAGAGCATGGGTGGACCTTTGTCACTTTCAAACAGGCGCACAAGGCTAAGGGAAAGACAACCCGGGAGAGCACCTTGGGCAGAGTGAAGCCAACCTCTCTAGGTTGGCATCCACAACACAAATATTATGAAGCAGCAATAGGTGCTCATAGCATGCATGTAAGTGCACTTGTATCCTTTGTGCCTTACTGAAGACACATATTTATGGATGCATGCACTCACATTCACTCACTTTTCAAGAAACTCTCTTTTTTACCTTTTCCATAGAAATTATATTTCTACACTTATTTATGAACGTGGACTTACTTGTTGCTTGCTTCACTATCTTCTCAATGTGCTTGGTGAACTCTTCTTGCTTTTCTGGATCATCTGTAGTACACTTGGCAACCAGGACCTGCTTTAATTGACATATTCCTGCATTAAGTCTTCCTGTAAAAATAGAGAAGTAACGTGATCAAAGAAAAATTATCATTGGTTCCAATTAAGAAGCCATCCATAAATTATATAATGCAAATTTAAAGTATTTTGAATACGCCCTCCCCCCCACTCTAATGCACACTTGATACACTCCTCTAATAATTACGTATCTCTTGTGATAAGCCCCCCCCCCCGCACCCAATTACAATAACTATAACTCAATCATTGGGCAGAAATGAGTTGCACAAGTATTAATTGTATTTGCATTTATTAAAATTAATATGAGAATTAGTTGATGGTGAGGACTGTGCATAACAATAAGTTTGAGGACAATTTTTTAATGAAAGAAAGACGCATAGGCAAGAAAATTTCAGGCAAGCTGTGCGCATGCCGCCGCGGAGTCTACTGTGCCAAATAATTGGTTCTATATTTTTCTATAGAACAGTTTAAATTTTTTTTTCCATAATCTAAAAGATTCAATCAATATATCATTAATGAAAATATTTTCATTTATTGAAACAATTTATACAATATACCTTCTTTCATTTACTATATTTTTTAATTTAATTTGTTAATATGGTAGTGTTTTAGTATAAGATTAACTAAAAGGCATTATTTCAGAAAACGTTGAAAGATTTTAAAAGTAAAATCAGCATCACTAAACTATGACCTCCATACCCCTATGTAATGCAGTGTAAAACAAACACCTCCCCTCTTTAGCATTATGTAATTTATGGATGACCCCTAACTTCTTAGGTAGACAATACAGAAATATGAAAGGGGAAAGGGGGGGAGGGGGGAAACTGACACTTAAACTATAACTTTATAATAATAATATATCCAAAAGATCTTTACAAAATATATTTTTTGTTAGAGAGATAGATTTGTACTTTGTCAATCAGAAGTTGATTGTAACTAAGGGAGAAAGATTTAGGACTTTTCTTAAGGTTTACATTACCAGAGGACTAGCAATATGCTGAGTGAAACATGAAAGAAGGCTTTCTCTCCTCAGGTGTATATGCTATTCCTTTCACAATTACAATATTCTTAATTAAGTCATATTTAAACTTGTGGTGCTACAGAATGGAACAGACTTTCTCATATTAATTTTCTATTTTCCTTGGTCTGAAATAGCTATTCGGACTTGCCACATACTCTTGCCCGCTGCTCAAACTACATATTTTTAAATTTTTTTTAATTTTTCAGTTTCCTAATTGTTGAACTGAAATATTATTTTAAGATTATTAAAGAAGAGTAAATGGCAATTTTCATTGAAAAAACTTGAACAATGTAAAGGAAAATGGTGATTAACCAATTCTGTAAATGCTAAATTTAAAGTTATTTTTCAGATTTTTTCGAGATTCTGAAAAACTTAATTTAAAGTCATTTGAAGCACTTTCACTCACACATGCAATAGTGTTTACAAATTGCAGGAAATGTGCGTATCAGTAACATAAGATATATTTAAATAAATATACATTTGTGTAATTATTGAAAAAGCAAAAGAATATCCCAAAACGAACTTTATGTCATATTAAATATTGTAGTTAGCATTATCTGTAAAAATATAATGAAGAAACAATTTTGAGCAGTTTTTGAGAGAATGGCATTTAAGTGTTTCTGATCAGACAGAATTTTGAGTTAATTTTCACAGAAAACTGGTGGTTTTCGAGAAACTTTATTTGACATTATTTAAAACACATGTACTCATAAATACAATAATGTTAACAAAATGGTGTTAATGTAAGTATTAAGGACATTACATACAAGTAAAAAAATTACCTTTTTATAAACTTTGAAAAAACAAAAGGATAGAGCAATAACATTTTTTTGTTCTTGTAGAGTACTTTTCAAAATTGCAGGGCTTCAACTCGGGCAATATCGACAGGGGTTTCCTCATTTTGGAAAAAACCCTATGCATGGTTTAGGCACTACTGTTACTCACATACACCAAACAAACAGATGGTTCTTTTGAAAAAAAAAAAAGAAGAAGAAAAAACACTTTCATGTATCAGAGTCTCCAAAACGTGTATATCTGTTGAAATCTGGAAACTGATTTCCTGCAGTATTACATAACTTTCTCTATACTATGCATAATACTCCACATGCACTTATGTATATGAGAAAATGAAAATAACAAATCATACAATTTTGTATTTGCACAAGGAACAGAATTTGGATACTTCATTAGTATTTCTTTTTGCTACATAACTGTATAGAAAATGTAAATAAATTGCTACATGTTTATTGATGGGCATAAGGGAACTGATGTTTATAGCTGACGTCATTAATAAAGCAATTTCTAAATTTATTGTTACAAAAGTTAAAAATGCAGCTGATACAAAATACAGAGAGGTGTAAAGATTTCGATGCATGATTGCAGTCAGGCGATCGTTTTCGAATAACTTAGCAAAAAGCTAAGAAATATAAAGTCCTTCATGATGTGAGGACAGTATTTTTCTGTAAAAAAACACTTTAAAATAAAATCTTGGCAAAAAGCAATTATATGATAGTAGTTGCCACTGAAAAAATTAAAATTTTGATGATTATCAACCATAATAGCCTGTTTCCAAGCAGGCATTTCACTGATGATTTTCTAACAAGATATTTGTATTTGCAAACTATTTGTGAATCTTTCCTTTTAAAAAGCAATGTTGATAATATGGGATATATGGTTGAAATGCAATCAATCAATTGTGCTAATAAGGTACGTGGTATCTTTTGGGGATTGACATGATGTTTAGAATCACTGCAAGGAGGACCAAATGTCAAGCACAAAGAAGAATGGTATCCATATCTCATTTGAAAAATATGGGGTAAATATGTATATCATTAGAACATAATATCTGCAAACATATGTTTGCTCAATGCTTGTGATTTATGTTCAATGGGTGTGAATCTGCATTTTGTAAGAAAAATGAAAAATGGAAATGGGAAAATTCACCTTCACTCACATTCTATACCCAACAAAAGAGGCAGAATAATTTTTTCAAAATTACCTAGAAAACTTGGGAATTTTACTGTTCTTTCTCTCACGCCATCCACAGAAGGAAAAAAAAATAGTTTGCACTTCACAAATCAATCACGCAAACATTAATTAATGTGAATTTCAAGTTAATGTTTGGTAAAGAATTAAAACGGTAATGAAATTGGAGGTTATGAAATCTAGTGAGAAGACCTAATGTTCTCAAATTAAAGACGAAGGATGAACATTAAACTTTTAGGGAGCAAAAAAAATGTAGAATTCAAGCTAGTATGAAGAAAGATTAGCAAGGAAGAAACAATATTATTTTAAAAGATGGTAATGACAAAAGTCATGACAACTATAATAATAATAATAATAATAATTATTATTATTATTATTATTATTATTAAGAGAACATCTAGTAGTGTGGTCAGAAATGGCAGATACACAAATAATAATAATAATAATTATTATTATTTGTGTATCGGCCATCTCTAACCACGCTACATGTTCTCTTCTGAGGATCAGTCATATTCTATCCTGGAGAGAGATTAACATGTCATTATGGGGATTAGCTTTTCAGCTGTATTCCTTGGTAAGACAAAATTGTTGCGCCTAGAATTATGAGGTGATAGGATGAGGTTGAAGGATGAAGGGACAATCGCAAATTCAATCATGCCTACACAGGACTTGAACCTGCAGCCTCCTCGGAGTAGATGACGGCTGCCGCAACCATCTGTGCCATGTGGCCAGCTTAGTTTTATTATAATTTTTAAAAGAAATATAAAAATTCTAGTAGTTTAGGCAAAAATGATTGAACTTTAATATCAAGACAATTTTCTGGTCAATAAGACAGTTTGTGATTTTCTTTTGACTGAATAGCAAAAACTTATTCAAATTGAGAAGAAAGAACAAAATATCTAACGAGAACTCTTCAAAATTAGGGGTTTGTCGATTATTCAGTTATTTCATATTTAGATAAATACGGTAATAAAAAAAGTAACAATAAAACCAAGAACCACAGTACTATTTTGGTCGTGAATTCAGTCTCAATTTTCTTTTGATAACAGGACAAAAGATTCTCTCTGCTCACGCACAGTATGGTTTTTCTGCATGCAAGTTTTGGATACAACTCTAGAATCATAATTTGAGCATTATTGAACTCTGATGAGCATGAGACAGACCTCCAAGAATTTCCAAAAAATTGAAGATTTTCTATTTTTTTCATTTTGACACATTTATATACAATATCACTACACAAATCAATACTTACTATGTTCAGTTTCTAAACCATAAAGTTTTAACTTATTTGCTTCATGCTGTGCTTTCTTTTTCAATCTGCAAGCCCTGAAAACAAAATGAGGAAAACTAAATACCATAATTACAAATTTCATCTATTTGATGTTGGGCCCAAGAAATAACTAGTTTCAATAAGCAATAAACAGGGAGTAAAAAAAAAAATTAAATTAACAGTTGCAGTGAAAATTGCAAAAAATCAAACCAATTTTTTGACATTAGTTTAGCATTCAGTGGCATTTAAAAACCACAGACTTTACACTTCATATCAAAACATTGGAAAATAAGAATTTTACATTTAAAAGTATCAAATACCATATCGCTATGTTAAAATCTTTTTTATGTTAAAATCCTTTTAAACTTCAAAGTCTCGATGGATTCGAACTGTATTAAAATTTGTACAGCTAAGTTTTTGTTTTGCTTCCTGAATCAATCTAGGAGGGGAGCATAAAACATTTAAGTGGTGATTTTTTATTAAGCACAAGTTCACATTCTCATATGTATATTAAATTAATGATTCTACTTGTATATGGTATTTTACATTGTATGCATGGATACTGGGCAAATATGGTCACAGGGAATAACTTGATACATTATATGGACTTCTTCTCTGACTTCCTCAGTTTGTCCCTACAACTATCAAGAAAATTGCAAGGAAATTATCTAAATAAAATCCATTTTAACATGAACATTGTATATTTGAATGTATTATATGTAAAAAACATATTTTTAGGGACTAAAAACCACTGAATTGCGTGGTTAAGAAGTACAAAACAGGCCAACTCTTCTTAAGGAAGATTAGTACCTTATGGCAAAATCCATTCTTTAATTATATGCGTACTAACAGACAAAACCATGGACGTATGTCATGTTATTAAGTGCTTCAAATAACACCTTATAGTAAAAAAATTACACATATGTATCAAGCCTTGATGCAAGCAGAATACAGGACTGAAATATTGGCAGGAGATATAAGAATTAGTTCAATTTTGTCCAGAAGAATGATCTAGAGCAGTGAAACTATCAGACCATTAGATGCTACAAAAATAAATTCTTCTATACAAGTCAGCTCCTTCCACACATGCATGCTTTTAAGTTACATACCTTGATGCTAATTTGTTCTTTTCCTTACGCGTTTTCGGCCTAACGTTAAAGGGCAATTCACTGACTGGTGTCATATCATTTATAATTTGACCAAGTTTGTCCAACTCTCTTCCAATACTGCACAGCTTTCTTGGATTTGGAGTCAGATCATTTCCATCACCCTTCCTCGCTTTTCCACTGAAGAAAAACAAACAAACAAAAAACATAAATACATCTCTTATTAAATATTAACACCAAAGCCTAGATTAATTATTTAACATTAAATTAGAATTAATAAAATTATAAAGATTAGATTTAAAAAATTACCTATGTTTAATTCCACGAACTGAACATTCAGGACTAAAAACAGGATCAGTCACTTCATTTAAAACATGTGGATCTTCTAAAGTCGTCTTTAAAACCAATCGCTGACCCTTTGGACCTTTTGCTTGCACATTGTATTGCCAGAAGTAGCGCTCCTTCTTAGATGAAGACCGCATATGAACTTCTGAATCACTGCCAGACTCTGCAATTCATTTAAGATCTCTTTTTTTATTTCCACAGAGCACTGCCACTTCCTTCTCTTTTACAGCAAAATTAACAGCCAAAACTAGTAAGTGAAATCATGACTTTAACTAATATATTTTGGCACATATTTTCTAATTAGAATAATATTGGGACCCCATTAAAAACCAAGGGTTATGTTGCAATGAAGTGCAATAGAAATTAATTACAAAAAAAACACCTCAAAACACATATGATCAATCTTGTCCGATCTCCAGATCCTTTTATTAAATGAATGCTATTTTATATTTGCAAACCAACCAAAATAATTGGAATTAACCTCCTATAAAAATGGGAAAACTTGTTTTAATGTTACAGCTTTCATATCAACTAAAGTTAAAGCAAATATTTTAGGTATACATATCTTAAACAAAACTGTATTGAACATCAAAATAAGCTTTTAAGCACAAACCTCCATCAGATGAATAATCTTCGTAATGATCACTGTCATCTTCTGAGTCAAATCCTTCATCATGAGAAAACTCATGTGATTCTGGGCTCAACACTCCACCTAATACAAACAAGAATTAAAAGTACACTAAACTCTTTCTTTCCCATATGCAAGATTATTTACAATTGAGTGTAAGTAATAATGGTTTAGTTTTTATCAATGTGGTGTTGTAAAAGCATTTCATCAAGTTATCCTTTAATTCTGTATTAACCAAATCAAAAAATTCCCCGGAAGCAATCATTTCTTGCTGTAAGCCCTTCTGCAAAAAATGATGAATTTTAACAAAGGAATTATCTTTTTCTTATAGAAAGAATACTAAGGATACAGTATTCCACAAATAAGATGCCATTTTAATCTGATTAATTTGCTCCTAAATGACTATACACAGGCCTTTTTCTATGCTTAGATTTACATAGAATAGTAGCACTAACTATTCCCCGAGCTCTATAAACTATTATATGAAACATTCACAAACCCCAAAATCTAAAGAAATGACAAAAACATATCCATGGTATTTACCTGTTGATATTGATGAAGTTGATCCAGCCTCTGCCAGGGAGCCAGTGGAAAGGAGATGCTGGCGTGACTCTCTGCGCTGCCAGATTTGTTCTAATCCCAAATGGGTGGGAGCTGACGAGGACAAGCGAGAGGAGTAGCACTGGGAGCTGCCTGTGCTCCGTGCCACGCGACTACTGCCTGGCACAACGCTCAGCCCAGGGCTGCCTGCAGGGGGTTCGCTGGAGCTCATGTGTCCAGATGCTGAGCGACCCATACTCTTTGACCCCCCAAAGGGTGAACCTGACGTTTCTTTCTTCATCAACAACTCGTGCAACGTGCTGTGCTTCATATTAACACCGATGTCCAGAGGGGGAGTAATCGATGAAGCTGCTGATTGTAGAAGGAGGGAGGAACTTGAACTGTGTTGACTAGTTGGAGATAATGCACCAACGCTGGGAACAGCACTGTTTACTGTCTTCGAGAAAACATCAAGAGGGCTGGAAGGAACACTGGATGACAAAAACGAATCTTTGTAGAAACCAAATCCTGCAGGTGGAAATGAGGAAGCAGCAAGATTGTTTGGGGTCTGATTATTATTTATAACGTTATTATTAGTGTTTGTAATTTGAACAACTGGAGGTTCAAAAGGAGTTATACTTTTCGGTTGAGGAGACACACAAGGAACATTTAAGTAGTAAGTATTCTCTTCAGGTAACAAAAGGTCATCAAAATTCAAATCGTCCAGTAAATTTTCATCATTAGCATTCAATTCTGCAAGAGTAGGTCCTTGAATAAGATCTGCTTTATCTACCTGAAAAATGTCATCATCATCATCATCATCCATTCTGAATGATTCAGTTTTGAAAGATGGACTGTCTGTGTTAAGCTTTGCACCCCATAGTGGTCCAGTTAAAGGATGGCACAGGCCTGTAACTGATGTGGGAACACGATCCTGAGATGCAGATGGTGAAGGGGTATCTAACTCAAAACCAAAATCTCGTAGTTCTGAGAGATCCAACACCTTCCTAGGTGGAATTGGAACGCTAGCTGTCATAGAGCTGCTTGTATCCATTGACACTTGTTCCTGCTTCACAAGGAAGCCTGGATCCATAAAAATATCACCCGAAAAACTTTCATCAGCCATTGTTCATATTCTCATAAACTTGCAAAAAAGCAAACTTTTTGTCAATATTAATTACAATTTCTGTGTCAATTTAAATAATTACATGTCTGTCATAATAGATGTAATAATTAATAACTAAGCACGTGTTAAGAATTTCCTCAAAATGTCAGGAAATTTTCAAATTCTTAAATAATAGCTTGTTTTGAATAACAAAAGTTTTAAGATGAATAACTTTTCATGAATCACTTCACTGATCTCTCTTCTATTACACAATGGAGAATTACACTGACAACACTTTTAACACTTCAAAATTTGCTATACAGTTTTGACAGCACTCATAACACAGAAAGCAAGTCGGATGTTTATCAAGTACGATTGCACAACATTCGCAAGTAAACAACTTAGTGCGGAACTGAAACCATGATCACAAACGCAAATCTAGTGTACTTCCTGATCAGTTGGCAAGAGGGTATTATAATGAAGTAGAAACAATTCTGTCAATACGTGATAAAATCACGGATAAGACACAAAAAACACATTGTACCACTAATTTCCCGCGCTGTTCCCAGTCAACGTGACTTTCAGAAATATCAAGACAACACAACTTTTTACCAAGTGCAAGGTCGTTGTTGAAAGTTTTGTTTTCATGAACTCTAGAAAGGGAACTTAAAAGATGCTACTTGTAAACACGTATGTTTAAAACGCTTAGTTCCGTTGTTCAACACAGAGAAATACTCAAAGGTCACATGAACACGATCAATTGACTAACATCACAACCAATGGAACGAGGGATAATACACATTCCACCAATCAGGAGAATGATACGATATACCATACTTCTAGAGGGAACAATCATTGAAAGAGAAACTGGAAAGTGATCCACAACATGAATGAGAAGTAGTTTTTTAGTTTCTATGAAGTAGAACATGTTGTAGACAATAAAGGCACGGCAATATTTAGATTCAAATTATACAAGTTCTCAATTTTATTTTCCTATAATTGTGGTCATGCACAGAAAACTGGTTTGAAATATGTAAACAACCAGTCACATGTGTGCGATGAATGCGCACGTCATGAAATATCTGGCAAGGTTACTTCATTGTTGGGAACAAAGAGCAAGCCACGCTGAGTCCTCGAAACTCGAAACAGTATAATTCATTAATTAACCTGAAAACAGGCTTCGAATGCTACGTAAACATCGCAGCCATGGAATTCCCAAGAAGAAACTTATTTGACAAAAAGAAATACTAAAAGGAAGTAAATTGAACATATTCTTTGTGATTCAGAAAATCGAAAATGTAATAAGTAACCTATTAAGTATAAAAATGTGCACGCATGGATTTTAATAAAACTTAAAATTGCAACAATTTGGTTTGTAAATTATAACTAGTACCTCAGCACATTTTTTTCGCATTATTTCTTCTCCCGGAGGGAATAATAACTAACTTAATTAATTAAAAACAAGAAACAAACAAATAAATACATAAAAAATTTGAGCATATTTTGAGAGCTTTTTTAGAAATTGCATTAACTTCAAGCGTTAATTACGCGAAAACTACCAGTTTCTCCAAAAAATTCTACATGGCAGTTTTTAAAGAGATGATTTTTTACAATAGACTTTGAGGTAGAAATCATTATTTTCAGTTTTGTGTTTTTTAAATTTAACTTTTTGATTTTTTGATACTTTTACCGTCGCTTGATACAGAAAATTTAAAATGTATAAAATGCCTATATTCTGTACAAAAATACACAAAACTACTATTTTTTTTGAAAAATTGAACATTTAATTTTATTACAGATCTAGCTCTAAGGAACAGATTTTACACAGGATCAAGTTTCTTTTTTCAATATTGTAGTTGTAGCAGACACCCCAAACAAATTAATCTTTTGCAATTTTCGAAAAATCATGTATTTCAACGAACATGAGACCATCATCCCTTGGGCGCCCTTTACACTATCGGAGGTCAAAGTTTAATAAAACAATTCGTAGCAATCATTGAGAAAATTTTGAAAATGTTTTTGAAGTTTCATGTAAAGAACCCTCAAAAATTAAAATATTCGTTTCAAATTCCCAAAGTCATGAGTTCGTTCTGATCGATTGGGGAATATCAATTTTGGAAAAAATCGACTGAAAGGCGAATTAGGCGCTAATGTTGACCTTGAATTTTTTTTTCTTGGCATGTTCTCCTCATATGTAATAAGGGACAGAAAAAAATCTGATGCTAGTCCCATTTTCGGTTATCGTTCGGTGTTTTCGAAAATTGCAGAAGTGAACATTTCGAAACCACAATCTTGGAGATGGCGATTTTTGCTTTAAACCAAGTCGGTTGTAAATAATCAGCTCTTCAAAAGAGGTCGTGAACAATTTTTTGAAGAAAAGAGCTGATTTCACGTAATTTGTGTCTAAACTTAACACAATTTCTAAAAGAATTATTTTCTAAAAACCGCTCCAATTTTTTTTCTTTAAATTGTTTCCGCATATGTGATAAGGGACGGTAGAAAATATGGTGCTAAGCGCCATTTTCGGCTATCAATCCGAAAGATTATTTGAACATTTCAAAATGTTAACATTTAAAAACTACAAAATTGGAGGTAACGGTTTTTGGTTTAAACAAATTTATAAAAATATAAAAATCAGCTCATTAAAAAGTCGCGTGCAATTTTGTGAAAAAAACAGTACCTTTTGCGTAATTTGCGCTTAAAATGTTTGCAATTTCTAAGAAGAATATTTTCTCAAAAACCGCACACCAACGGAAGAAGAGAAAGTATTGTAATCGCGCGCCGGAAAAGCCGAATTTTGGACACAAAACCCTTGTTGCCCGGCCCTGGTATTGAAAAAGTGAATTCAGTTGCTAAATAAAGAAAAAAAAATATCATCTAACACTTGTAGTAGCCAGAACCCATGTTTTTTGGGTCCTTCATACCGAAAAATCGATTAACGGCAAAACGTCTGTCTGTCCGCCTATGAAAATGCTGGTGTTGCACATATGTTATACGTAGAGCTGCAATTTATATGCATTTGCATTTCTTTCTGTTAACTAAAACATCACGTTTCAACAAATTGTATACGTTTTGAATCAATTTAAGCAATTTTTATTTCGCATATTTTCGCATGTATGACCACAATTGCATATTTTTGCATATTTGGGCTATATTTGCATATTTTTGTTGCTTATACACCTCTCATTCGCGGAAAGATGCCCAAAAGTTACAGTTTCGTCAGCTTGTAAGCGGCTCTGCCAGTTCTCTCGCCACATGCTACGGTGACCAAACTTATAATGTTATCGCAACCGCACATGCATTTATTATAATCTTCTTTATAGTACATCATGAGACCTGCTCTGACGCAATGGGCTTCCGAGGATTTGTTTACGTTGCCATAGCCACGGATCAGCGTTGCCGCTCGCCTGACTCCAAGTCGCTCGAGAAGCACGCTAAGACCTGTCATCGGCAGTACCAGTCGAAATGAAATGTGCATCCGCCGAGTTCCTGTGCGTGTCCACACCCGTTAATTTGTCGCGATTTGAGAGGAACTCATATTTTTTGTTGCAATAACTTTTTTTTTTGAGAAATGTACATTATCTTCATCTCCCATTATTTTCCTAGAAAATGAGTGTTATTCAAAAGTAAGCCCTTGACTTAATGTTTGTCGCTTGTAACAATTTATAAGATTTCTGTATCTTTTTTGCCATAAACATATTTTCTACATAACACTTTTTATTTATTTTTACACTTACACCTTACACTATATCGAATATTTATCTTATTTAATTGCATATATTACCAAATATTTTTACATATATATGGGCATATTTCACTGTTTTTATTGCATATAAATCGCAGCCCTAGTAATAAGGAACAGTAAGAAATATAGTGCGTCTCATTTTCGGGTATTGCTAGATTTTTTCGAAAATTGCAAAACAATTCAAAAGTACAAAACTGAAGATAAAGTTTTTTGCTTCAAAGTCTGTTGTACATTATTAGCCCTATAAAAATAAAGCATGTACAATTTTTTTAATAAACGAGTAGTTTTGGCGTTGTTTCTGGTTGAAATTAATGGAATATATACATCACACCAACTTCGGGTCATGAGAAAAATTGAAAGAGTGATAAGAAAAACAACTAACAATTTTAATTATCATTTTCTATAAAAAACACCAATAATAAATATATTTTTGCTTTCCCGCACTTTTACTTTACTTAATTCTACCATTTGTATTCTTGATGATATACAAGTACATAAAGTTGACGGTCTGCAGGCGGTATAATGACTTTCATCGTTTCTTCATACCGAAGGCAAATAATTCTTAACGAACTGTGTTATTTAGGCCATTATTCATGAAATTATAATATTATTTAAGCTATCATACAACTATGGAGTGCAAGCAACACCACCTAGAAACTGTATATGAAACTGTATATCTAGGTGGTGTTGGTGCATAGCAATTACAGGAGAGCATGTTCAAAATTAGATGTTCAAATAAGGTCATGATCCATGTTTTGAAAATATGAGTATTTTGGGGCTGATTTGGAGACAAAAATAATGACCGATCTGAATTTACTGCGCTTCGTTGTCGTAATTCCCGACATTTGGATGTTTCGTATGTAGAATTTATATATTTCATACACATTTGTTCGATTCTTACATTCGAATTTTGTTATACATTTACACATTAATATTTTAGAAATTATTTAAAACCGTTTTGAAATACTGCTAGCTTGAGGTAACATCAGATTGGATTGCTGCAATGACTCGACAACAATGACTTGGAAGCTCGTTTTTGAGATTTGCGTGTTATTGTTGGCATATGATTTACCTGCATGAAAATCAGTTATAATTTTCAAATTTGTGTTGATATTTACTTGAAAATATTTAGTTATTGCACCAAATGTGCGGTTTGTAATGAGTAGGATTGGGCAGTATTAAAATACTTGTGTATGAAATACGTATTTTAAATAATTCACATGTTCATCCTTGTCAGTTGAATGTCTGCTCTCCTTTGCAGTTTTCATATATTCGTTAACTAAGGGTTTATTGTCTGATGATTTGTATGAAAAATGTTTTTTAGAATTATACAAGTCAAATACTAAATAATACACTAACTGTCGTTAAAATTAATATTACTTTCCTTTTGGATGCTGGCTGTAGTCTCTAATTGTATAGAAACAGTTGTGGGGCAGAAAATATTTTACTTGCGACAAACTTTTGTATCAAATTTAATCGTCTAATGTGATCTGAAAAAGTGTTGTGAAATAATGTACTGTACATGTATTATATGTGATTTTTTTGTAGCGAGCGGTTGATACTGTCACCTGATGTATATGATTACTACGTTGAGTGTTGTAGTTATAGATATCAGCGTTTGCTGAAAATATATTTTCGCCCTTATTTTTAACAAAATCCAGTGATTCATATATCATGAGGCAAGGTAATGGTAATATACCTAGATTAATAAAGAGAGGATTTGCTTATTATTCGTTCAATTATTTTTTTGTAATCTAAAAGTCTGGGAGCTAAAAGATGTTATTCCCCAGAATATTATGCCATATCTCAGGCGGGAATGAAATTCGCGAAATATGCACAACGAGCAGTGAGAAGGCTAACTGAATTTGAAAGAATTCTGAAAGCGTAGCATAAAGAACTTGATTCAGTGTTGAATTCATTTAAATGGACGTTCTATTTAAGGTTTGAATTGAAAGACCTAAAAATTTTGTTACCTTAACATCAGTCAATGGAACACCGTTCATTTTCAATGGAGTACAGAGCTG